CTGACTCCACCTCTGCTGCAGTTCATCTTTTGTTAAAACCATTTATGCTTTTTGTGTTTTTTTTTGTGGGATATAAGTGTTACTGTTTTTGACCTACAGCTGTCCATGTAATGTTGATACACGTACAGTGATGTTGGTGAAAAGAATTCCAGGATTTTCACCCAGTAACAACAAAGGGACAGTGATCTAGTTCTAAGGCAGGATGGTGTTTGGCTTAGAGGGGAACTTGTAGTGGTGGTGTTCCCATGTATCTGCTGCTGTTATCTTTCTAGATGGTAGGTAGAGTGCATTTGGACAGTCGTGCCTTCAGCTTAAAGTGGCTAAGCAATTCAGCTTCTACTGTGAGCCGCCTCTCTGACTCTCTTTTCAGATGCTCATTCAAACCTAGGCCTTTCACCACATATTTAGTCACCTGAAATAACGTAGCCTTAAATAAAGAGATTTCTGGGCAAACACAGATCTGGCAGTATCTGTAGAGCGAGGAGAGTTAACTTTTTTTTAAGTTTTTAACTTTTTTTTCTTCTTCAGAAAAGTTTTAGGTATATACACATTGTTGCTGGGTTTGCCAAGTAAGTATCTGTGATCTTTGATGGTAGAATGTGAGGAGTGAGTGTGTGGATTCGGTGTGGAGAGTAACAGAGTTAAGTCAGTGATCTGATGCGCTGCCTGTTTTCCAGGATTCGATGAGTGAAACCCTGAAAAAGTGCTATGTTTATCTGAACCAGACGAGCCGCAGTTTTGCTGCTGTCATTCAGGCACTGGATGGTGATCTACGGTAAGAGGGCTGCTAGCCTCTGTGGGAGGGAGTGAGTCCCAGCTAGTGGGGCAGCAGGGGATGGGTGTGAGGGGGTGAAGAATATGAGAGAGATGGAAGCGTGAGGATGCTGGGGTAGTGGATTAGATGGTTTTTGGGGAGTGGCTGACAGAGAATGTGGGGTGAAGTGGTTTTTATCAGCGAGAGAGGATTGGTTAGGTCACAGGTGAGGGAGTCAGGAGTAGGATTGAAGTTTTTGGGAATAAGCCAAAATAGGCCCCTGCCTGATACGCATGCTTATGTTGTGCTTTCACTGCAGTCAAGCGGTGTGCATCTTTTACCTGGTGTTGCGGGCTCTAGACACAGTGGAAGATGACATGTCCATCCCCCTGGAGGTGAAGATCCCAATGTTACAGAACTTCCACACTTATTTGTACCAGCCTGAGTGGAGGTACAGCCAGAGTCGGGAAAAAGACCGCCAGGTGCTGGAGGATTTCCCATCGGTATGTATCCCTGTGTCAGGAATGTGGTAGAAACATTGTTTCTGATTCTCACTGGGACATGAGTTCCACATGCACTCAATCTCACTGGGGTATAATTCTGCCCCTGACCTATTTCTGATTCTGGTCTTGACTCTCATTATTTGCAACAGATATCCTTGGAATTCCGCTTACTGGCCAAGGTTTACCAGGATGTGATTGCAAATATCTGCCACAAGATGGGAGCTGGCATGGCTGAGTTTTTGGGAAAAAAGGTTGGATCCATCAAAGAATGGGACACGGTAAGGAGAAACAATCTGGCTGTTGGTGGGTGCTGTGTGGCATGATCAGGCTTTGTGGTGTGTCTAGAGTCGGATATGATTGTGGGTGGTATGACCTTTCAGCAAAGTTTGCATTTAGGAACAGTCTGCTGAGCTCCCAGTTAGACATCAGATATGAATGTTGACCTTAAGTTGATAGTTACTTAGTCATTAAGGGCATTGAGGGATATGGGCAGAGTGCAGGAAGGGGAAAATGAAATTGAGGTCGATTTTCAGTCCTGATTTATTAAATGGCAGAGCAAGCTCAAAGGACCAAATTGCTTACTTCTCCAGTTTTATCAATTCTGAGTTACTTCAGATTGTTCCTTGGAATGGTTGACTGACTGTGTGGTAGTGATGTGTTTGAGTTTTAACCATCACTGACATTCTTTCCACGCCTCTGCTTTCAGTACTGTCACTATGTGGCAGGACTTGTGGGAATCGGCTTGTCCCGTCTGTTCTCGGCCTCTGAACTTGAGGATCCAGTTGTTGGGCAGGACACTGAACTGGCCAACTCCATGGGGCTCTTCCTGCAGAAAACCAACATCATTCGGGATTATCTGGAGGACCAACAGGAAGGTCGGGAGTTCTGGCCACAGGAGGTAAGTGTGGCCTCTGTCAGCTGGAGAGTAGGGATGATGTAGACATGGACTGCTCAGGATCCATCCATACACCAATGTGTGCATGTACCCTTCCAAGACTACTGCCTTTGGATGTAGAGTGCAGGTAAAGCCAGTTGGCTTTTTTCCATGAAGCCTACTCTAACTTCATCCATTCCACTCTGTTATTACAATTCTGGAGATTTGGAGGTTACTTCTACAACATGTGACAATAAAGCTAATTTAATTCAAAATCAGTTCAACATTCTCATAGCTCACCCAACCAGCCCCAAACCACCTTTCTCCCTAATCTATTTCAAAAGCTTTGCTGGATCCTGTTTCTCCTCCATGGCATCTGCCCTAACTTTTCATGTCCTTATGACTTACTTTGTCATTTTGTTTGTGCACAGTGATACTTGTAACAGCTGCTGGGTTGTTGGTCTTGTGTGTTTCAGGTGTGGAGCAAGTATGCAGAGAAACTGTCTGACTTCACCAAACCCTCAAATGTTCAGGCAGCACTGCAGTGCTTGAACGAGCTGATTACAAATGCTCTGCAGCATGTCCCAGATGTCATCAAGTACTTATCCCGGCTTCACAATCAGAGTGTCTTCAACTTCTGTGCGATTCCACAGGTAGGTGTTCCCCAATCAAATACTATGGTAAGTGGAGAGAATTTTATTGGTAGGATTGACCTGATTCTGTCTGTGTACTCTGTTTCTGTCCATTTCCATTCTGCATGTGTCTCACTGTTTGGCCTTTATTTCAGGTGATGGCTATAGCCACACTGGCTGCTTGTTATAACAACCCGCAGGTTTTCCGTGGTGTGGTGAAGATCCGGAAAGGCCAGGCTGTCACCCTGATGCTGGAGGCAACTAACATGGAAGCTGTGAAAGGGATGATTCGGCAGTATACCCAAATGGTGAGAATCTGACAAAACACTCTGGGATCAAACCAGGGGATGAGTTCGGAGGAATATCACTAAATATGTCGCTGTGACCGGGACTAAGGGAAGAATTTTACTGAATACATCAATGGTTACAGCAGAGGATGCCAAACTAAAACAAATTTTTTAAAAAACTGTGGATGCTGGGGATCTGTAACAAAAACAGAAATTGCTGGAGAAACTCAGCAGGTTTGGCAGCTTTTGTGGGAAGATAGCAAAGCTAATGTTTTGAGTTAGGTGTTCTGATGAAGAAGAGTCATCAGACTCAAAACATTAGCTCTGCTTTCTTCGTACAGATGCTGCCAGGCCATTCACCCTGTTAGGAATAAGAGGTGACTTAATTGAAATATATAAGATCCTGAGGGGTCTTGACACCTTGAAATTGTGACCCCTAGTAACTGAGTCCCCCACTCTGGGAAAAAGCTTCTTGCTATCCAACCTGTCTATACCTCTTATGATTTTGTAGACCTCAATCAGGTCCCCCCTCAACTTCTGTCTTTCTAATGTAAATAATCCTAATCTACTCAACCTCTATTCATAGCTAGCGCCCTCCATACCAGGCAACATCCTGGTGAACCTCCTCTGCGCCCTCTCCAAAGCATCCACATCCTTTTGGTAATGTGGTGACCAGAACTGTACGCAGTATTCCAAATGTGGAGAGGATGTTTCCTCTTGTGAACAAAGAACAAAGAAAATTACAGCACAGGAACAGGCCCTTCAGCCCTCCAAGCCTGTGCCGATCCAGATCCTCCATAAGAACATAAGAACAAGGAGCAGAAGTAGGCCGTCCGGCCCTTCGAGCCTGCTCCGCCATTCAATAAGATCATGGCTGATCTTTTCGTGGACTCAGATCCACTTACCCGCGTTCTCACCATATCCCTTAATTCCTTTATTGTGCAAAAAAAATCTACCTTATCTTTAAAAACGTTTACTGAAGTAGCGTCAACTACTTCACTGGGCAAGGAATTCCATGGATTAACAACCCTCTGGGTGAAGAAGTTCCTTCTCAATTCAGTCCTAAATCTGCTCCCTCTAATCTTGAGGCTATGCCCTCTTGCCCTAGCTTCACCTGCCAGTGGAAACATCCTCTCTACTTCTATCTTATCTATTCCCTTCATAATTTTATCTGTTTCCATAAGACCCCCCCCCGAATCTTCTGAATTCCAATGAATATAATCCCAATCTACTCAGTCTCTCCTCATAAGCCAACCCCCTCAACTCCGGAATCAACCTAGTGAACCTCCTTTGCACCCCCTCCAGTGCCAGTACATCCTATCTAAACCTGTTGCCTATTTTCCAAGGATCTGTATCCCTCTGCTCCCTGCCCATTCATGTATCTGTCCAGATACATCTTAAATGACGCTATCGTGCCCGCCTCTACCACCTCTGCTGGCAATGTGTTCCAGGCACCCACCACCCTCTGCGTAAAGAACTTTCCACGCATATCTCCCTTAAACTTTTCCCCTCTCACCTTGAAATTGTGACCCCTAGTAATTGAGTCCCCCACTCTGGGAAAAAGCTTCTTGCTATCCAACCTGTCTATACCTCTCATGATTTTGTAGACCTCAATCAGGTCCCCCTTCAACCTCTGTCTTTCTAATGTAAATAATCCTAATCTACTCAACCTCTATTCATAGCTAGCGCCCTCCATACCAGGCAACATCCTGGTGAACCTCCTCTGCGCCCTCTCCAAAGCATCCACATCCTTTTGGTAATGTGGCAACCAGAACTGTACGCAGTATTCCAAATGTGGTCGAACCAAAGTGCTATACAACTGTAACATGACCTGCCAACTCTTGTACTCAATACCCCGTCCGATGAATGAAAGCATGCCGTATGCCTTCTTGACCACTCTATCGACCTGCGTTGCCACCTTCAGAGTACAATGGACCTGAACACCCAGATCTCTCTGTGCATCAATTTTCTCCAGGGCTATTCCATTTACCACATAGTTCGCTCTTGAATTGGATCTTCCAAAATGCATCACCTCGCATTTGCCTGGATTGAACTCCATCTGCTATTTCTCCGCCCAACTCTCCAATCTATCTATATTCTGCTGCATTCTCCGACAGGCCCCTTCACTATCTGCTACTCCACCAATCTTAGTGTCATCTGCAAACTTGATAATCAGACCATCTATACCTTCCTCCAGAATATTTATGTATATCACAAACAACAGTGGTCCCAATACGAATCCCTGTGGAACACCACTGGTCACAGTTCTCCATTTTGAGAAACTCCCTTCCACTACATCTCTCTGTCTCCTGTTGCCCAGCCAGTTCTCTATCCATCTAGCTAGTACACCCTGGACCCCATGTGACTTCACTTTCTCCATCAGCCTACCATGGGCAACTTTATCAAATGCCTTATTGAAGTCCATGTATATGACATCTACAGCCCTTCCCTCATCTATCAACTTTGTCACTTCCTCAAAGAATTCTATCAAGTTGGTAAGACATGACCTTCCCTGCACAAAACCATGCTGCCTATCACTAATAAGCCCATTTTCTTCCAAATGTAAATAGATCCTATCCCTCAGTATCTTCTCCAGCAGCTTCCCCACCACTGACATCAGGCTCACCGGTCTATAATTACTTGGATTATCCTTGCTACCCTTCTTAAACAAGGGGACAACATTAGCAATTCTCCAGTCCTCCGGGACCTCACCCATGCTCAAGGATGCTGCAAAGATATCTGTTAAGGCCCCAGCTATTTCCTCTCTCGCTTCCCTCAGTTAACCTGGGATAGATTCCATCCGGACCTGGGGACTTGTCCACCCTAATGCCTTTTAGAATACCCACACTTCCCCCCTCCTTATGCCGACTTGACCTAGAGTAATCAAACATCTATCCCTAACCTCAACATCCGTCATGTCCCTCTCCTCGGTGAATACTGACGCAAAGTACTCATTAAGAATCTCACTCATTTTCTCTGACTCCTCACATAACTTCCCTCCTTTGTCCTTGAGTGGGCCAGCCCTTTCTCTAGTTACCCTCTTGCTCCTTATGTATGAATAAAAGGCTTTGGGATTTTTCTTAACCCTATTTGCTAAAGATATTTCATGACACCTTTTAGCCCTCTTAATTCCTCGTTTCAGATTGGTCCTGCTTTCCCGATATTATTTCAAAGCTTTGTCTGTTTTTGGTCGCCTAGACCTTATGGATGCTTCCTTTTTCCTCTTTGCTCGTCTCACAATTTCACTTGTCATCATGGTTCCCTAATCCTGCCCTTTCTACCCCTCATTTTCATAGGGACATACCTGTCCTGCACTCTAATCAACCTCTGTTTAAAAGCCTCCCACATATCAAATGTGGATTTACCCTCAAACAGCTGCTCCCAATCCTCCTTCCCCAACTCCTGCCGAATTTAGCTATAGTTGGCCCCGAATTTAGCACTCTTCCTTTAGGACCACTCTCATCTTTCTCCATGAGTATTCTAAAACTTACGGAATTTTGATCACTATTCCCAAAGTAATCCCCTACTGAAACTTCAACCACCTGGCCGGGCTCATTCCCCAACACCAGGTCCACTACGGCCCCTTCCCGAGTTGGACTATTTACATACCGCTCGAGAAAACCCTCCTGGATGCTCCTTACAAATTCTGCTCCATCTAAATCCCTAACACGAAGTGAATCCCAGTCAATGTTGGGAAAATTAAAATCTCCCATCACCACCAAACTGTTGCTCCTACATCTTTCCATAATCTGTCTACGTATTTGTACCTCTATCTCACGCTCGCTGTTGGGAGGCCTGTGGTACAGTCCCAACATTGTTACCGCACCCTTCCTATTTCTGAGCTCTGCCCATATTGCCTCACTGCTGGAGTCCTCCATAGTGCCCTCCTTCAGCACAGCTGTGATATCCTCTTTGACCAGTAATGCAACTCCTCCACCCCTTTTACCTCCCTCTCTATCCCGCCTGAAGCGTCCATATCCTGGGATATTTAGTTGCCAATCTTGCCCTTCCCTTAACCAAGTCTCAGTAATAGCAATAACATTGTACTCCCACGTACTAATCCAAGCCCTAACTTCATCTCTCTTACCTATGACACTTCTCGCATTAAAACAAATGCACCTCAGACCACCTGTCCCTTTGCGTTCATCATCTGCTGTCTGCCTCCTCTTCCCCTTAGTCACACTGACTTCATTATCTAGTTCCTTTCAGGCTTCAGTTACTACCTCCTTAATGTCCACTAACCTCCTCATTTGGTTCCCATCCCCCTGCCACATTAGTTTAAACCCTCCCCAACAGCGTTAGCAAAAGCACCCCGTAGGACATTTGTTCCAGTCCTGCCCAGATGTGGACCGTCCGATTTGTAATAGTCCCACCTCCCCCAGAACCGGTCCCAATGTCCCAAAAATCTGAACCCCTCCCTCCTGCACCATCTCTCAAGCCACTCATTTATCCTGCCTATTCTTTCGTTTCTACTCTGACTAGCACGTGGCACTGGTAGCAATCCTGAGATTACTACTTCTGAGGTCCTACTTTTTAACTTGGCTCCTAACTCCCTAAATTCTGCTTGTAGGACCTCATCCCGTTTATTACCTATATCATTGGTGCCTATATGCACCACAACAGCTGGTTGTTCACCCTCCCCCTTCAGAATGTCCTGCAGTCGATCAGAGACATCCCTGACCTGTGCACCTGAGAGACAACATACCATTCGGGAGTCTCGTTTTCGACCACAGAACCGCCTACCTACTGCCCTTCCGCTCTTTTTCTCACCCTTCTGTACAGCAGAGCCAGCCACGGTGCCATGAACCTGGCTACTACTGCCTTTCCCTGGTGAGCCATCTACCCCAACAGTATCCAAAACGGTATACCTGTTTTGGAGGGAGATGACCGCAGGGGACACTTGCGCTGCCTTCCTGCTTTTTTTCTGCCTTTTGGTCACCCATTCCCTTTCTTCCTCTGCAATCCTAATCTGTGGTGTGACCAATTTGCTAAACGTGCTATCCACGACTTCCACAGCATCGCGGATGCTCCAAAGTGAGTTCATCTGCAACTCCAGACCCGTCATGTGGTCTAACGAGCTGCAGCTGGACACACTTCCTACATGTGTAGGAGTCAGGGATATCAGCCGCGTCCCTGAGTTCCCACATTGAGCAAGAGGAGCATAACACGGAATCTAGAAATTGTTTTCCCCAACAGATTTAAACTAATGTGGCAGGGGGATGGGAACCAAATGAGGAGATTAGTGGACAGTAAGGAGGTAGTAACTAAAGCCTGTAAGGAACTAGATAATGAAGTCAGTGTGACTAAGGGGAAGAGTAGGCAGAGAGCAGATGATGAACGCAAAGGGACAGATGGTCTGAGGAGCATAACACGGAATCTCCTTGTGTCCAGTATGGCCCCTTCCCGAGTTGGACTATTTACATACTGCTCTCGAAAACCCTCCTGAATGCTCCTTACAAATTCTGCTCCATCTAAACCCCTAACACTAAGTGAATCCCAGTCAATGTTGGGAAAATTAAAATCTCCCATCACCACCACCCTGTTGCTCCTACATCTCTCCATAATTTGTCTACATATTTGTGCCTCTATCTCACGCTCGCTGTTGGGAGACCTGTAGTACAGCCCCAACATTGTTACCGCACCCTTCCTATTTCTGAGCTCTGCCCATATTGCCTCACTGCTGGAGTCCTCCATAGTGCCCTCCTTCAGCGCAGCTGTGATATCCTCTTTGACCAGTAATGCAACTCCTCCACCCCTTTTACCTCCCTCTCTATCCCGCAAATGTTACTTGCCACTTGTTAACCCAAGCCTGCATATTGTCCAGGTTCTTGCTGTATTTGGACATGGACTGTTTCAGTATCTGAGGAGTTACGAATCGTGCTGAATATTGTGTGATCATTGGTATTGACCATATCTTCTAGCTTGTTGCCTAGATCGTTAATGTACATAACAAACAGCAAAGGACCCTGACCAAACATAGTGGTATGCCACTGGACACAGGCTTCCAGTTGTAAAAATAACCTTTGATCACCAACCTCTGCCTTCTGCCACTAAGCCAATTTTGGATTCAATTTGTCAAATTTCCCTGAATCCCATGTACTGTTATCTTCTTTATCAGTCTCTCATGTGGGACCTTGTCAGTGGCTTTGCTGAAATCCATATAAACTACTTCAACTGCATTAATCCTCATCTACACATCTGGTCACCTTCTTTGAAAATCAATCTAATTTCTTAGGCATGATCTCCTCCTGACAAAGCCATGCTGCCTATCTTTGACTAATCCTTGCCACTCCATTTTTGTCCCTTAGAATTTTTTCCAATTGTATTGCTACCACTGATGTTAGACTCATTATCTTGTAGTATCCTGGTTTATCTCTACCACTTTTCTTGAATAATGGTATCATATTAGCTGTGCTTCAGCCCTCTGGTACCCCTCCTGTAGCCAGAGAGGATTTGAAAATTATTATCAGACCCTTGCAATCCCCTCCTTTACCTCCCATAGCAATCTGCAATACACCTCATCTGGGACTGGGGATTTATTCCCTTTCAAACTTGCTAAAACGTCCTGCCTCTCAATGTTAATTGTTAAATATATCACAGCCCATTCTTGATTTCCATACCCACACTGTCCTTCTCTACAATGAATACAGACAGAACGTACTCCTTTCAAACCTCACCTACATTTTCTTGTTCCACATGCACATTGCCACTTTGATCCCAAATGGGATTCTTTCCCTGGGTTATTCTTTTCCTTCTGAGATACTTATAAAATGCCTTCACTTTTTCTCAATGTTACCTGCCAGTGTTTTTTCATGTCGTCTCATCGTCCTCCTAATTTCAGTTTTAAGCACCCCCCCGAACTTTCTATACTCCTCTCGAATGACTGCTGTTTTAAGTCTTCAGTATCTGCCATAAGCTGCCTTTTACTTTCCTTATCCAATTCTGTGGAATCCTCGACATCCAAAGTTCTGTGGACTTGTTGGACCCACCCTTTACATTTATGGGAACTTGTTGGCCCTATCTTCTCTCAATTTCCTTCTTGAATGACTCTCACTGCACCGATGAGATTTTCCTCTAAATAGCTGGTTCAGCTCCAATTTGGCCAGATCCTATCTTATCATATTAAAATCAGCCTTCCCCAACCTTTCAGGATCTTTACTTCTGGTCCACATTTGTTCTTTTCCATCACTACCTGAAAGCTAACTGAATTAGGGTCACTATCATATCAGTGAAATGGTCCCTCACTAACATATCTACCATTTGTCCTGCATTGATCCTTAAAATTAGGTATAACGCTACCCCTTCCCTTGTCAGACATTCTATGTGCTGGCTTACAAAGCTCTCCTAGATACATTTTAAGAATGAAAATACAAGAACCTAAGAATTAGGAACAGGAGTAGGCAATTCAACCCCTCAAGCCAAGTGCTGTTTAACACTTGGGAGGACTCATTCATCAGCCGATAGAGAACCGTACATGGTAATCAATAGGAGGTTTCCTTGTCTGTGTTTAATCTGATGCCATGAGACTCCGTGGAGTCTGAATTCAGTGTTGAGGAGTCCCAGGGCAACCCCATCCCAACTGTGTACCACTGTGCTGCCACCTCTGCTGCTCCTGTACTTCTGGTGGGTCAGGATGTTTCCAGGGAAGGTTATGGTGGTGTCTGGGACGTTGTCTGGAATGTATGATTACATCAGGCTGTTAGTTGTTTAGTCTGTAAGACAGCTCTCCCAATTTTGGAACTAGCCCCCAGATGGAGAATGTAGGACTTTGCAGTGTTGATCACTCTTTGCCAGTGTTGTTTTGGTGCATACGTCGATGCAAGGTAGCCAATCCATCCAGTTTCATTCCTTTTTTATAAAGACTTAACAATTGATACAACTGAATGGCTTGTTAGGCCATTTCAGGGGGCAGTTAAGAGTCAACAACATTGCTGTAGTCCTGGAGTCACATATAGGCCAGACCAGGTAAGGATGGCAGTTTCTCTTTCCTAAAGGACATTGTTTGTATGCTAAATTCTTGGCTGCTCTCTGCAAGATCAAGTCAAACACCCCTGCCTTCTCCCTGTAACCCTGTGTGTTTTTCCTATTCAGATAATGACCCAGCTCCTGTTTGAAAGTCATAATTGAATCTGCCTTGATTGCACTTTCAGGCAGTGCATTCCCAACCCTGATCACTCACTAGGTTAAATGCTTTTCCTTTGGTTTGTTACCAGTCACCTTAAAATCTGTTCAGAGATAGTAGGAACTGCAGATGCTGGAGAATCCGAGACAACAAGGTGCAGGGCTGGATGAACACAGCAGGCCAAGCAGCATCATAGGAGCAGAGAGGCTGACGTTTCGGGCCTAGACCCTTCATCACCTTAAAATCTGTGTCCACTGGTTCTCAACACTTCCACCAGTGGGAACACTTTCTTCCTTGTCTGTTCTGTCCCAAGATCCCTCAGGATTTTGAATACCACTTTTAGATCACCTTTTGACCTTCTGTAGGGAAAACAGCCTCAGTTTCTTTAATGTGTTACTGAAGTCCCTCATCCCTGGAATCAGTTTCCTGAATATTTTCTGCACTGTTTGTGCACCTTCACATCCTTTCCAAACTGTGGGGCCTAGAATTGGACATTATTTCAGTTGACGCCAAACCAGTCTTTTAGAAAGGTTCATTAATTTCCTCACTTTTGTAATATGTCATTTTTTTAAAATAAAAGCAGAATCTTCTATAAAGTGGGAATCTTAAATAATAACACACAGTGCTGGAAATAAAGTGTGAATCTGGTCACATCCATGGAGAGAACAGAGTTAATGTTTCAGGTCAATAACCTTTTATCAGTAGTGGGAGAAGTTAGGTTTTGAGAAGGAGTGTTTCCAGCATTTTCTGTTCATTAAGCCCTGTACCCCATATTAACCGCTTTCTCAACATGCCTTGTTATCTTCAGTTATTTGTAAGCATACATGTCCAATTGTTTCTGCTAGTGTACCTCCTTTGGAATTGTTCCCTTCAGTTTACGCTGTCTCTTTCCTTCTGCCCAAAATGAATCACTTCACATTTCTCTGCCATGTGTCCTTCTATTCCACCAGCCTATCCGACCTTATGAAGTCAGCACATCCACGTTCTATGTCATTGCAAATGTGTGGGTCCTCATAGCTGTCTCTCCCTTTCTATCTCATTTCTAGATTGGACAGAAAGTTCCAGGTGCAGGGAGATCTGGAGCCAGAACGCAGCAGATTGTGGTAAAAGTGGAGTCCCTGAGCCAGTGTGATGGGGAACTGATGTCCCGTGGTCATCTTTCACCCATTTACCTGTCCTTAGCCGTATTCTTGGCTGCGGTTAGTTGGCAATACTGGCAGACCCTGACTCACAGCTCAGAGGAGTATGTACATGGGCACTAAGCAGCTTTTCCTTTGTTTTAATCTCTCGCTAATTTTCATTCTACAATGGGAAGAAGAACAGGAGAGTTTTGTGACTTGTGCTGTTACTCACTCCAGGAGATAGCTCCGCTGTGAGGCTGAAGAGAGTTATTCATTCTCCGTAGATCAATGCAGTAAAGCTTCACTTCTAGACTGCAAGCAGGCAGCACCAGCCTGTACCCCACCGGGTGCTGTGGCCAGGCACAAGGTTCAAATGAGTACATTGGTAAAGGGAGAGCATGAAAGATTCCTCAATTGCCAGCAAGTCTCTGATGGGATGAGTTTACACAGACTCAATTGGAACATACTGATGCATGCCTAGCCCTCAGCCATATAATTGGAGCCTCTGTACCAATCCTGGGAATGTTTGATGGTGCAGTGGAGAGGGTGCTTTACTCTGTATCTAAACCTATGCTGTCCCTGTCTTGGGAGTGGTTGATGGACACAGTTTGGAGGGAGATTTACTCTGTATCTAATCCCATGCTGCACCTGACCTGGGAGTATTTGTTGGGGACAGTGTACAGGGAGCTTTACATTCAGTTTAAAAGAGTAGAATAAGCTTCACCCTGTATCTAACCTTGTGCTGTATCTGTCCTGGGGGTGTCAGAGTTGGTGTCTCTGTGACCCCCACCTCCCCAAATCCACATGAGAGTTGTTGTGTGGGACCATGCAGAACCCCTCGTTCCACTGCTGTGAAGGTCTGCGTCCAAGTGTCACCCCTTCTCTCCCCGCAACCTCCTTCAATCTTGGTGTTCGTGAGGGGCCTCAACACCTGACTGAGGAAAGCTACTGTTTCTGGTGTTTGTCCTTTGTCATTCCCTTGTTGATCATTAGATTGCTTGTTGATAATTCAATAAATGACTACAAATGCCTGTGTGTTTGTACAGATTCACTGACTGTAGAGTTTGGCATCCATCCTCTGAGACTGCTTTCAAAGATGGTAGCATTAAGTCACTAGACTAGCAAAGCATGTACTTAGAGTTTATGGTGACATTTACCACATTGAAGGAGGCCATTTGGCCCATCGTGTCCCTGTTGGTGAACAAAGATCAGACAAACCCATTGTCATTTTCCACCTTTGAGCCTGTAGTCCTTGAGGCTGGAACCCTCGAATCTAAATACTGCTTAAATGTTACAAGAGTTTGTTGCATTGTACCTCTTTTCAGGTAGTGAGCTGCAGACTCCCACCACTCTATGGGTGAACACATTTCTCCTCAACACCCCTTTTGACCTTCTGCCCCATACCCTAATCTATCCCCTTGGTTATTGACTTATCTAATAATCGAAAAAGTGCCTTCCTATCCACTGTATCTGTGTGCCTCATTATCTTACACACTTTTATCAGGTCTCCTATCAACTTTCACTGCTCCAAGGAAAACAACCTAAACCTATCCGATCTTTCTTCATATCTCAGACCCTTCAGCCCAGCAGAATCCTGGTTAATTTCTTTTGCACTTTCTCTGTCTCATAACCTTCCAGTAATGTGCTCAGAGCTGCATGTAGTACTCCAATTATGGCCCAGCCAAAGTTTTATACAGTTCCATCATAAGCCCTGTGGCTTAGAGGGTCTGTTAGCTCAGTTGTTTGGATTCAATGCCCATTCCAGCTGAGGTCACTATGAGGTCTTCTTAATCTTGCCTGAGGCATGGCGTCTTTCAGGTTAAACTCAGCACCAGTCGTTTCAGTTTAGAGAGCAGCCCTATGGTCTTTGGGAGTTTACCATGCTGGCTACCCTGATTAATCGGTGCCTCTCCCAAGTGCAGCTATAGTCTGTCCCTCAGAGATTTTTCTAATAACTTCCCTCCAACAAAGTTAAGACTCATTGGCCTGTAATTCCCTGCTGTATCCTTTTGTTCCTTTCTTGAATAATGGGACAACTTAGCAGTCCCCTGACACCTCGTGTTTGACCCCAGAGGATGTCTGGGGATAGTGGTTCAAATTTCACCATAACAGCTGGTGGCATTCAAACTGAATTAATCAATCAATCTGCAACACTGAATATGACAACTATTGGCAATAATTAAAAAAAAACATCTGGTTGACTGATGTCTTTTAGGGAAGGAAATCTACCAATCTTACCTGGCCTGACCAGTGTGTAACTCCAGACTCCTACAGCAGTGTGATTAATTCTAAACTACTATGACCCTTTGCAATAGCTCAACAAGCCACTCAGTTCAAGGGCCATTGGGGATAGACAATAAATGCAGATCAATGACATCCATATCCTAATAAAAGAATAATAAAGTTGAAATGCTTAATATGAACAATTAACCTGATGTATTTAATTGGATGACTAGTGGGGCCAACAGCTGAATGCTTCCACAAGGATGATGTGTGCAGGAAGAGTGTCAGTTACATTGAGCTTCATGGATTGTACATGTCATAAGAGGGAAACGAAAAACACCTTAAAGCAGAAAGAGGAAGAGACAAACCTAAATGGAACCTGAAACCCACAGTTTTGTCATGAACAGCAACTGTTGTGTTGTACAGCTCACTTTCTGACTGCTGAGTAATTACTTCCTCACCGGTTTTTTTTTCTCTCCAGTTTAATATTCAATCATGGGATGAGGGCATCATTGGCTAGGCGGCATTTATTGACCATCCCTAATTGCCCAGAGGGCTATTGCTGTGGTTCTGGAGTCACATGTTGACCAGAACAGATAAGGATGGCAGATTTCCTCCCTAAAGGGCATTTGTGAACCATGTGGATTTTTCCTCGCAATTGACAATGGTTTCATGGTTATAAATAGATTGTTAATTCCAGACTTCTATTAAACTTCAAACTTCATTTGTCATGGTGGGATTTGAACCGAGGTCCCCAGAACAATACCTGGATCTCTGAATTAATAGGCAAGTGATAATACGACGAGGCCAACTCCTCCTCACACATGGTGCTTTTTGAAAATTTTCAACCTGACTCTCCATGTTTGCAAAATATATTTTTCTTGGCTGCTAGTATTTATAGGATCTTTATTTTTCAAAAAAATATTTCAAGCAAAGAAATCCTAGAAGATTCTTTCGATAAATTTTATTTGGAGCTAGTGGAAAATAGTGTGTTAGTGTAATAACGGTTTTACATGCTTCCAAAAACATCATAATCTGAGCAGAGAAGACAAAGGGTGAGAGACTCTCACAGCTAACAGCTGGTTACTGAGGCTTAAAGAAAGCTTGTTAAATCAGGAACATTGCACATGATTGAAACATGATTTTGTGCGTAGGCCTCTTGAGACTTGGAGTAATGTGCTCCTTCATTTGTCAGGTATAGGTGCCAAGCTCTCCAATGGAGTCCTGTGCCACCTCCCAGTATATCACTGATGTATTGTGTGCAGGGCTTGGAACCTCACTCCACCTCATAGGTACTTGTTCTTTCTAACGTCCCGAGGAATTCCAGCCACAATCTCTGATTCGATTCCACATTCATTGCTGCCACGCAAGATTTTGAAGAAACCTGCAAAAAAAAATCACCAATGAAGTGGACTTAGAATGAATGGAGGAACTATCAGGCAAATTTGGCTTGACATGAAGGGTTCTCCCCACCATACTTTGAAGTGTCACTCACCATTATCGCCCCAGTCTGTGTTCCAGGAGTTAGCAACCAACCAATAGGGCGTTCCATTCTCCATGCCCCAACCCAAGATCTTGATAGCGTGACCACCCATTGACTCCCCAGCCACATGTTGGTAAACTCCTGGAAACATACATTGACAAGTCAAGTAAACAACAGAGCCAGGCCACAGCCCATTGTATAACATTTATATAATTCAGCAAATTGGAAGCTTACAAGGAGGTCCAGCCAGATGCATTGGTTACTTTCTCTCTAACCAAAATAGGTGGTGTAGTAAACAGTGAAGATTATTATCTCAGAATACAAACAGGACCTTGATCCAATGGGCCAAGGAGCGGCAGATGCAGTTTAATTTAGGTACATGTGAGGTGTTGCATTTTGGTAAGGCAAACCAGGGCAGGACTTATACAGTTAATGATAGGCCCCTGGGGAGTGTTGCCGAACAGAGACCTAGGGGTGCAGGTAGACAGAGTGGTGAAAGCATTTGGAACCCTTTCCTTCATTGTTCAGAACATCAAGTATAGGAATTGGGATGTCATGTTGTGGCTGTACGGGAGATTAGTTAGACCACTCTTAGATTACTGCATTGAATTCTGGTCATCCTTTTATAGGAAGGATGTTATTAAACTCGAGAGGGTGCAGAAAAGATTTACAGGATGTTGCCAGGATTATGGGTTTGTTTCCGTGCTGTTTGACTCAGACTCTATAATATTGAGTACTGAGGCAAGGTCCTACCTGATTTGTAGTGCAGGAAGTCAGCGTAGACTATGAGGGCAGCTTCCACTGGCCCATTCTTGTAGATTTCTGTCATAATCTCTTTGACATCTGAACCGACACCATATGAAGTAAGGCCTAGCAAAGAGAGTCTGCTTAATTATCTCAATCTCACAGCAGTAACAACTGACAACATTAAGAATAAGGTAAATACACACAGACACCCCTCCATACGCATACACATACAAACAAGAGGCAGAGGGACATGTAGGATATAGTGTATACTTATCCTGGTATATCTGATGGTTCTCTGCCTGATCTTGTCTCTATTCTGGCTCTACTTACCGTAGTGTTTGTCACTTGTGTACTTTGGGGTGTAACCAGCCTCACATTGTTTAGAGCATTTGGGAGTTTCAATCTCTCCGTTGCATTTTGGCCGAGAGCCGTTGACATGGTGTTCACATGGAGGGATTGAGTATGGACGGCAGCCTATGGAGAAGGTGGGAGCCAAAGAAAGGCCAAACAGTGAAAACTAGGACATTCCAATGTTTATACTGTGACTAATTCCAGACCTTGACCCATCCTCAGACCGAGATACTGATCACCCAGCCACAGAAGCTCAACACATTCTCTGACCTGCATAAAACCCCAGATACTGATTCATGTCTAACTCCAAAAACTAATCAATGCTTAGCCTCAGACATTGATCCACACCCAACCACAGATATTGACCCATTACTGAGCAACATAACCATTCCCTAAACTTAACCTGGAATTTTATGTAAAAAACAGCTGGCTTGTTATAAAAACCCATCTGGTTCACTAATGTTGTATAGGAAAGGAAATCTGCAATCATAGAATCGCACAGTACAGAGGAAGCCTTTTGGCCAATTGAGTCTGCACCAAAACTCCCAAATCTAGTCCCACTTTCCAGCTCTGGACCCGTAGCCTTGCCTGTACCTGGCCTAGGTGTCATTCCTGACACATATTGATTCTTAACTACCCTCTGAAGTGGCCTAACAAATCAGTTTAAAGAGAAATTAGAGATGGGCACTAAATGCAGGCCCAGCTGGTAAAGCACACATCCCATCAGCAAATAACAAAAAACTCAGATACTGACCTACATTTGAATCATAAAGTCCTCCTGATACTAGACCAGCTTCAGTCCAAAATTCCCAAGCTCCAGACGGATAGCCACCGTTACAACTGCGGAAGAGTAAAACAAATTTAGTTTGTATTTACATAGTGCGATGAACAGTGTCAAATATGACCCAGGAGCATGGACAGTATCAGTGAAATCTCTGAAATAAATTGAAATAAAGAATAATAAAAACGAAATAACCTTCAAAAAATAAAAAAAGTGTCAAGATAAACTTGAGTTTCTTTTAATTTTTACAAATCAGGTTTATTCCGCGTATGCGTATTAACAAAAATCAGGTGAGCACATACAGTCAGAATTCTTCATGGGATAGGTGCTTCACAGAAGTGTTAAAAAATAAAAGCATGAGATATTAGGACACAACCAAATATGAGATAACTGTCAAAAGGTGGAGCAATGGGTCTGGGTTGGGCAGAGGAACAAAAAAGCCCAGCTGTGGGTCCGTTGGTAAGCGCCAGGGACCCGGGTTCGATTCCACCCTCGGGCAACTATCTGTGTGGAGTTTGCACATTCTCCCAGTGTCTGCGTGGGTTTCCTCTGGGTGCTCCAGTTTCCTCCCACAGTCCAAAGATGTGCAGGTTAGGTAGATTGGCCATGCTAAATTCCCTGTAGTGTTCAGGGATGTGTAGATTAGGTGGGTTATAGAGGATGGATCTGGGCGGGATGCTCTGAGGGTCAGTGTGGACTTGTTGGGCTGAAGGGCCTGTTTCCACACTGCAGGGATTCTATGATCTATGAACTAGAAAGTGCAGAATAGTAAGTCAGTTAAAAGTGGAATTGAGAGAGAATATTTTCAGGGACAGATAGATAGCCTTGTGCGATTGGCATGACAGAAGTGCACAAATATAGGAAAACATGATTCTCATCCTCGGTGATTTCAATTCACTCAGTGCAGGGCTAATGGAGGAAAACATGACGATGGTGAGAAAATTGGCAAAAGAAAAACTGGATTTATGTTATTTGTTCATAGGATGTGTGTCATTGGTAAAAATCAACATTTGATGCCCTTTATTAATTCACCTCAAAAAAGGAGATGGTGCTGCCTTTTTGAAAAGCTGGAGTAAAGCAGTGTAGACACATCCACAGTTTTAAAAGGAGAAACAAGGAGGGTGGAATCAAGATGAGATTCTCAAAGGAAAATGTGCTAGAGAAGTTGCAGATGATGAGGGTGAAGGTCATAAAACATGCAAAGGGCAGAAGGTTGAGAGCACATGTGAGGAAAATCTTTTTAACAGAACATGCTGGGAACCTGCAACTTTGCCAGTAGGGGCGATGGAGACAGAAACCCTCATCACATTCAAGGAGTATTTAGATGTGCACCTGCAATACCAAGGCATACAAGGCCATGGACCAAGTGCTGGAAAATAGTCAGGTGGTCGTTTTAAAACAGCACGGACATGATGGGCTAAAAGGCCTTTTCCTGTGCAGTCGATCTCTTTGACTCAATCACGTCAAAACATTCAGATAGACCCCGAATCAGCGAGGGAGTAAATTGACCTGGGATGAACACGTACCCACTTGAACAATATATCCACCTAACGTATTGCTGTGTTTGCATAGTTTGCAGAATTAGAGGAGTGAACTGAGCCTGACAACAGAATACATGAATTTGAGTCATGATGGGACACAAGTCTATTGTGGCTTCTATTCAGATTCAACTGTATTTTAGCTCTACCTCGGTTTCTGTCCACCTCTCTGAGCTGTAAGGCTCTGATATGAACTGTCTCTGGGACACTCTTAATTCACTTCTTGCTGAGCAAAGGTAGACAATTAAAGAAACTACTCAACTTGCTGTGAGGCTCATGTCAAATCAGGCTGAATGGTCCGTTTCCATAATAAAAAAAACAGCATCTGCAGTTTTTTTAAACTCATTTGTGGGATATTGGCATTGAAGACTGGCCAGCATTTATTGCCCATCCCTAGTTGCCCTTGGTAAACTGCCTTCTTGAACTGCTGCAGTCCTCCTGCTGTGATTTGACCCACAGTGCCATTTGGGAGGGAATTCTAGGACTTTGACCCAATGATAGCGAAGAAACAGTGACATATTTCCATGTCAGGATGGTGAGCAGCCTGGAGGGGAACTTGCAGAAGGTGATGTTCCCATGTAGCTGCTGCCCTTGTCCTTCTAGAACAAAGAACAAAGAAAATTACAGCACAGGAACAGGCCCTTCGGCCCTCCAAGCCTGCGCCAATCCGGATCCTCTATCTAAATCTGTCGCCTATTTTCCAAGGATCTGTATCCCTCTGCTCCCTGCCCATTCATGTATCTGTCTAGATACATCTTAAATGATGCTTTTGTGCCCGCCTCTACCACCTCCGCTGGCAACGCGTTCCAGGCACCCACCACCCTCTGCGTAAAGAACTTTCCACGCATATCTCCCTTAAACTTTTCCCCTCTCACCTTGAAATCGTGACCCCTAGTAATTGAGTCCCCCACTCTGGGAAAAAGCTTCTTGCTATCCATCCTGTCTATACCTCTCAGGATTTTATAGACCTCAAATCAGGTTCCCCCCTCAACCTCTGTCTTTCTAATGTAAATAATCCTAATCTACTCAACCTCTCTTCATAACTAACGCCCTCAATACCAGGCAACATCCTGGTGAACCTCCTCTGCACCCTCTCTAAAGCATCCACATCCTTTTGGTAATGTGGCAACCAGAACTATACGCAGTATTCCAAATGTGGTCAAACCAAAGCTCTATACAACTGTAACATGACCTGCCAACTCTTGTACTCAATAACCCGTCCAATGAATGAAAGCATGCCGTATGCCTTCTTGACCACTCTATCCACCTGCATTGCCACCTTCAGGGTACAATGGACTTGAATACCCAGATCTCTCTGTGCATCAATTTTCCCCAGGGCTTTTCCATTTACCGTATAGTTCGTTCTTGAATTGGATCTTCCAAAATGCATCACCTTGCATTTGCCTGGATTGAACTCCATCTGCCATTTCTCCGCCCAATTCTCCAATCTATCTATATTCTCTGACAGTCCCCTTCACTATCTGCTACTCCACAAATCTTAGTGTCATCTGCAAACTTGCTAATTAGACCATCTATACCTTCCTCCAGATCATTTACGTATATCACAAACAACAGTGGTCCCAGTACGGATCCCTGTGGAACACCACTGGTCACAGTTCTCCATTTTGAGTAACTCCCTTCCACTATAACTGTCTCCTGTTGCCCAGCCAGTTCTCTATCCATCTAGCTAGTACACCCTGGACCCCATGTGACTTCACTTTCTCCATCAGCCTACCATGGGGAACCTTATCAAATGCCTTACTGAAGTCCATGTATATGACATCTACAGCCCTTCCGTCATCTATCAACTTTGTCACTTCTAGATGGAAGTAGTTGTGGGTTTGGTAAGTGCTGTCTGTGGATCTTTGATGAATTTCTGCAGTGTATGCTGTAGATATCACACACTGCTGCTGAGTGTCAGTGGTGCCATGAGTGTTGTTTGTGGATGTCGTACCAATCAAGCACACTTTGTCCTGGATGGTATCAAGCTTCTCGAGTGTTGCTGGAGCTGGACTCAACCGAGGGAGTAGAGAGTATTCCATTAAACTCCTGACTTGTGCCGTGTAGATGATGGCCAGGCTTTGGGGAGTCAGGAGGTACATTACTTGCTGCAGTATTCCTAGCCACTGACCTGCTCTTGTAGCCACTGGCTTTATGAGAGGAGTCCAGGGTAACCCCCAGGATGTTGATAGTGGGGGATTCAGTGATGGTAATACCATTGAATGTCAAGGGGCAGTGGTGAGATTGTCTTATTGGCGATGATCATAACTTGGTATTTGTGGTGTGGTGCGGTGCAAACATTACTTGCCACTTTTCAGCCCAAGCTTGAATGTTGTCCAGACTTTGTTGCATTTGAACATGGACTGCTTTAGTATCTGAGGAGTTGCACAATTAGTAAACATCCTGACATTTGCTCTTGAAGCAGCTGAAGATGGTTGGGCCTAGGACGCTACCCTGAGGAACTCCTGCAGAGATGTCCTGGAACAGAGATGACTGACCTCCCACAACCACGAACATCCTCCTACGTGTCAGGTATGACTCCAACCACCAGAGCATTTACCCTGATACACATCGATTCCAGTTTTGCCAGGATTCCCTGCTGCCACACTCAGTTGAATGCAGCCTTGATGTCAAGGGTGTGACGCTCACCTCACCTCACCCCAGGAATTCAGCTCTTTTGTCCATGTTTGAACCAAGGCTGTAACGAGGTCAGGAGCTGAGTGACCCTGGCGGAACCCAAACTGGGCGTCACTGAGCAGGTTATTGCTGAGCAGGTGCTGCTTGATAGCACTGTTGATGACACCTTTCATCACTTTTCTGATGATCAAGAAGAGACTGATGGGGCAGTAATAGGCCAGGTTGGATTTGTCCTGCTTTGTGTATGGGACATACTTGGGCAATTTTCCACATTGTCGGGTAGATACCAGTGTTGTAACTGTACTGGAACAGCTTGGCTAGGGGAGCGGCAAGTTCTGGAGCACAAGTCTTCAGTACGATTGCCCGAATGTTGTCAGGACCAACAGCCTTTGCAGTACCTAGCATCTCCAAACATTTCCTGATATCATGTGGAGTGAATCGAATTGGCTGAAGGCTGGTACCTGTGACGTTGGGGACCACTGGAGGTGGCCGAGATGGATCATCCACTCAGCACTTCTGGCTGAAGATTGCTGCGAATGCTTCAGCCTTGTCTTTTGCACTGATGTGCTGGGCTCTTCCATCATTGAGGGTAGGGATATTTGTGGAATTTCCTCCTCCAGCAAAATGTTTAATTATCAACCACCATTCATGGTTGGGTGTGGCAGGACTGCAGAGCTTAGATCTGATCAGTTTGTTGTGGGATCACTTAGCTCTGTCTATCACTTGCTGCTTTTGCTGTTTGGTGTACAAGTAGTTGTGTTTGGTAGCTTCACCAGATTGACACCATCTTCAGGTATGCCTGGTGCTGCTCCTGGCATGCCCTCCTGCACTCTCCTTTGCACCAGGGTTAATCCCCTGGCTTGATGGTAATGGTTGAGTGGGGAATATGCCGGGCCATGAGGCTACAAATTGTGCT